TGCTGGTGACAACTCGTAAATAGCCGATTTTGCAGCTATGAATAACCTCTACGACTGCTAGCAACATCATCCGCTATCGGAAATGATCTAGACAATCAACCTTCCTCGCTTAACCTCATAATCCGGGTGATGAGCTCACAATTCAGCATTCTTGGCATCACAAAAACATCTTGGTAAATAAAGAGATAAAAAGGTTGCTCATGTGAACTATACGCGTAAGCGCTATTGGATTTCACGGAAGCAAAGCTGGTTGGAAATAGAGAACAAACTTTTGTAGAAGCGGTTTTGTTGGGTTTTGTTGACGAAATTGAAAAAGAATGCTTTAGAGGTGAATGCTGAACTGTAGTACTGCTTAGACGATCTTAAGGTTGGAGACGTACTTTCTTATTGCATGTTGGCTCGAGTGTCCCTGTTCCTTCGCATGCGCAGAGGCCGAAATTTCCTCCAGCCAGTCCAAGAAACACGTCCACCTTCGATGTTAGTGGCGTGCCAAGGTTACATGACCCTTAATTCTGGCTTTTACTTTATTTTGCCGTTCTCAGCTTTTACTAGATCTATTTGGTCGCTAAGCTTGCATTGCTTTTTTCGCTTATACAGCCCGCTTAGTTGTTGCAGCCATACGTCATCAAATGCCATCGGGGTCAGCGCACCAAAACTAGGTCGGCCAAGGTGTCAGCGTCCTTCACTGTTTTTTTCAGAATTAGAAGGGCCCTGCACAAAATGCCGACCTAGTTTGGCCTAGCCGACGTTGAACGCTTGATTAGACAAAGAAATCAAAGCGTTGATTCTCACCATCTGGTCCGTCCACCGTTCCTCCTTTGATGAGCTTCCGTCCTAACGTTACACCCATACTGTGTGTGATCAGTGACACCTTTGGAGCTCCTGTATAAGCCAGTACAGCAAGCACAAAACGACGCAGACGGAGAAGATCACGGCAGTTGTGGGTTCTATGAAATGCTCTTCTTTTTGACTTGAGTGTAGACTGTGAACAACTTTACATTCTTTCTTTTCAGTCGAATGCCTTCTTGACGGTTGTTTTTTCGATCTCCAAAAAAAAACTTGAAATTCTGGGAAATGCTATCTGCGATGGTTCGTGGAACAGAGCTCGTAGAGTTGATGAATGTGAGCGGCTAGCTATATCTGTCAACTCGAACTCTGCTTCGCAGAACGTTCCAAAATTGACAGCCGGGTGTTTTTCCGAATTCATGAGTAACCGTTCAAGTAGGTTGGCCAAAAAGTCAAATCCTTGCAAAAACTAAGAAATTCAAGTACAATTTGGTCGTTTAATAGTCGAACTAGAACATTGGCCCATGCTCCTTTTGGGGGATATTCTTCGAGCGCACAAAGTGTAAGCTTCTTATACCTCTTGGCCGCATTCAAAGTGTTTGTGTCACCCCACGACGTGGCGTATAGTTCAGCTTGGGTGTATCCTTTGTCCAAAAAATACTAAAATTACAAAAAATCATCATTGAAATAATCGGTGAAAAGCAACACAGAAAACAAACCTCAATAGTGTTTGACCATCCGGTAGCTGTCTTAGATAAGTGCAATGCAGCATCGGAATTGCCGTGAATAAATACTACAGGTGTATGGGATACCTCAAATTGAATGGCACTATCAAGCCACTTCAAAATAGGTTATATATAAATACAGTAGCGCTCAAAAGTCTTCGGTGAAATGCTTTGACGCTTTTTTGTTCATAACTTTTTCCGGTGCCAAGTGGGTTGGGGGGGACCACGCGGCGCGGCTGCGGCGCGGCGCCCTGCGCTCTCCAAGCCCGAAACGGTGTTTAGAGATTTTCACCTATTTTAGGAAGGGGAGG